AGAAATCACTACAGGAAACAGAAGATGCAGCTATAAACCCATACATTATATATTCTTGAAGATACTTCATGCATACATAGTAGCATAGGTTAAAGGAACTACAAAACCAAGAGAAAGAGAAATGGCTGACCAAAGCTAATGTAGTGGTAGAAAAGATGGAGAGAGACAGATATGGAAATGCCACTTCATTATATAAAGCTTACCAAGGATATGGTTAAGTTGGTCAAGGTAGTGTTTTCCTGGAAAGATAGGTCTGTTGGAGAGCATCTCTGCCAGAATACAGCCTACTGACCAGATGTCAATAGACTTGGTGTAACCCTGCAAGTAAAGCAAAGCAAGATTTTTGTTCAAATGTATTTTTGCATAATTGCAGTAACATGATACTTCAGTAAATTTTGAAAGTACAATGATGCAATTTTTTTTAGATGAGTCATGCTCATTCATGCTGTTTTATTTTTCTTGTACAGAATCACAGAATCATCTAGGTTGGAAAAGACCTCTACGATAATCTATTCCAACCTTTAATCTAGCACTGCCAAGTCCACCATTAAACCATGTCACTAAGCTCTACAACTACGCTTTTCCTGGAGACCTCCAGGGATAGTGACTCCATTACTTCCCTGGGCAGCCTGTTTCAATAGTTCACAATCCTTTCCATGAACGAAGTAATTCAGTATTGTGTATCAAAAACACTGCTTTGAAGGTGTAGCAAGAACTGAAACGTGCAAGGTATGTTTTTCCAAAAGGATTCTGTAAGTTCAGCTGTACATACTGCCATCCACAAATTTCTGAGACTCCCTAGTTCTATAGCTAATTGACAGTAACAAATTTCAGAAATGGGCCTTATACTAACTTAAGAAACTTTAAAAGTTCAGAAACCTTTAGAGTATTGTTTAGTCTATAGCTCCTAACAGCATGCTAAACACATGGGGAAAAAAGCCACACTTCCTAATAGTACAGGATCTAAACACCACACAAGTCAGTAGGAAACCTTCAGCATCGAAGAGGTGAAAGGACAAAATGGATTTTTGGTAAGGTGACTTGTAAACACAATAGGTAAGGAAGTAGTAAAGATGATGTGAGAAGGCCAACTGCAGGAAACAATACTATGCTGAGAAGAACTGAATGAACTATTTTCAAGTGTATAACCTATGTTATACATAAGGAAAGGCTCTGATTCAGAAGTGTATTTACACTACTGCTTGGGTAATAATGCAAGGGCAACTTTACCTCAGGAACCCTTGGCCCTATAAACTCCCTTGTCCTATTCTCCCATAGCCTGCTGTGCACTACATCCCCTCCCAGTAGCAGGGACCTTCCAACAAAAGCTAGTGACTGCTGAATCCATAGCTGACTCAGCACCAGCTCCTCATGGTGTGATCATTCAACAGCGTTTTCAATGCACTAATTCTGAAAAGTCTCATTATAGACCAGGAATGTTATGAGCTGACCACCTCTTAAGAAACACACAAAATATGTTCTTGTAAAAGTTGCTGATAAACTTATGAAAATATACAGAAATAAGATTAAGTTGCCCTACTTTTAAGGCCACAGTGGAAGTTTAAAACACAAGAAGCCTAAAAAACCCCTCCACTGAGCAGATATTTATTTTCTAAAAAGTGCATTAAACACACTATTGCCACAAGAAATCAAACCCAACTACCAGTTATCCTATGGAGGCAAAGTCTTTGGGGAACATAAGATACAGACACAGGTGTCACATTGGTATTTTACTATCAAGTATGTGGTTGTAGAAACTAATGCAAAGTTTATGAAAGATACCCATTAGTCACACCATACAGAAATTGGATTCACCTTAACAGAGGTAAATGTAAGAATAACTCCACATAAAAGGAAAAAAAAAAAAAAAAGGATGACTTGATTAAGATTGTGAACGCAAGTAAGATTGACATACAGCAAAGATCACATGCCTTCAGAATCAGACTCACCCTCATTATGCATTCTAAACCTAAGTTAAGACATCAAGATAATACTAAGGCAACATTTGCAAGTGTTGTTGAACACAGCACTAAAATGTTGTCATTACTAACAGTTCTGTCCTGCTCTATAAAAGAGAGCATCTGACAGAAAGAAGTCTTATGAATAGCAAGGAACTGGGTGTATGGGAACTCACGCACATGTTTACTCAGTTGTAGTATCCAATAATTGTATCTGGAATCACAAATTTATTACAAAAGAGTAGTTATGCTGTAAATCCATCATCCTGTTTTCTCAAGACTATGCATGCATTCTGATTCTTAAAAAAATAAAAACAAAAAAAACAGCACAGAAGGGGCAGGAGGGCAGAGAAGAATTTGATCCTTAGAAGTGAATAGCCAGCAACAGAAGCATCACAGCAATACACTATGGTTCTTACCTTAGAATTCAGCATGATTTCAGGAGCCCTGTACCAACGTGTGGCCACATACTCTGTCAGGAATCCTGTGTGATCATGGTCTGGATCTGCAACACGAGCCAGTCCAAAGTCACAAATCTAGTTTAAATTAAAAAGGAAAAAAAAAAAAAGCATATTAGACATAGAGCTTCCAGTACTACAACATTACTAATTCACCTTTCCCCAATCTGTGATGCAACACTTAAAGACAGTAATGCTAGCCTGTATTTCTAGAAATAAATTATTGCACAAACATTAGGATAAGTATTTTGGATGCAATACATAAAGAATTAATTGGATAGGGCCTCATACAGGGGTCAAGGAGAATAAATAGCCTGAAGAGCTTGAGAGGAAAAAATAGTTCTGGTGTGCAGTGTATGTTCTACTGTGGGCTTATTTAACAGCTTCTCTCACAGGTAGATGGCAAAGTATACTGCTCCAGCTTGTTAGTAGACATTTACCAGAAAATGACAAGAGTTTAAGATGCAAGAATTGATGACCAACACATTTGAAACAGCTCAAAACCCTGCTACCATCCCAACAGTGTATCTTTGCAATAGAAACATCATGAGATAATGGTAGGCTGGAAAATACAGGTTGCTGAAGAAAGCACAAGCTTAACAAAAATAAACCAACCCAGAAGAAAACATGTTTTGATTCTATACCAGAAAAAAAAAAAATCTAACAAAAAAAAAAAATCCCTGACTTAGACTAGTGAGTTCAGCAAAAAGGAGAGCTTTTTTTCGTCTATACTCTGGTAAAGAAGATTCATGGCTTTCAGAGCTACTTACCATACTCTCTCCAAAGAGAAATTAAGAAAATAAGAAAACTGAAAATGTGAAGATAGTGTTCTAGAGTATGACAGCTGTTCTTTCTATCATCCAATAGGTAAATGCAAACTTGTTGACTGCCAAATCAGATACACTTTTATGCTTTTGCTGTCACCAAACAAATTATGATAATGACCAATTTCTACATGAAGTGTATTTACTTGAAATGCCCTCTTTAAAAAACAAAGCATCAGATGTAGGAGTAGCAAACAATTAGGAGGTTCCTCTGATGAACATATTTTATAATAATTTACTACTTGATAGTTAATTGTGCACACTGACTGTATTAAAAATGTGAAATCATATGTTACAGTTAATGTACTGGGTAACCCTACCAAAAATGCAGTAGCCTCACTGCACCCTGACAACCTACTCCTTTATTTTCCTTGAGAGACAGCCTACGAAACAACTGATATAGATCAGTTAAGGAAGAAGTGATTCAACTGAGCAAAAGCTACATCTGAAATATAACATTTGGCAGGAGACCGTTAAACAGAGGGACTGATGAAAAGGCAGTGATGAAACTCAGAAGCCAGCCTGCATTGGACGACTCAGATATTTGACTCCAGTTACATATAATAATAAAATTTAAAAAGCATCCTTGGAAAACAACAAAGAACAAGAACCCTTTTAAGCATGTCAAGGTTTTCCCAAGGCTATGCAGACAGGGCAAACTGCCTTGTACGCAATTAGCAGTTTACATAAAGAGAACCGACACAAATAATCAGAAAAGCCTTCTGGAAAAACAGAGGTGAAGAAACTGTAGAGGACAACCTTATGGACTTCAGAAAATAATTAGGCAGACAAACTTTTTGCAACCTCTTCCTCCTAGCCTCACAAAAAAAAAAAAAAAAGCTAAATGAGACTACAGATTTCGCAGAATTAAAGGAGTACACGAGCAAACTGCTATGATTTGTTATTATTAAGGCAAAAGAAAGGCTCCATCCAGTCCACTGCGAGAAGAAAGAACTGAATTTAAGAAGATGTCTGTGAATCTCTCAACTCAAGTAGAAGAAAGTAGCACATGGGATGGAAAGGAAGATTAATGAACAAAGAGAGCTCATTAAAATGACAAAAAGCCCATGCTGACTACAGCAGAAGCAGGTTAAGCAGAGAAGAAGAAACACCACCAGTGAGAAAGGCACCAAGGTTGAAGCTGTAAGAAAGAAAGGCTTTTGGCTGTTAGCAGTGTTTTCACCAGCTGCAGAGCTAACCAGGAGTATTAACCAGACAAAATAAAAGAGAAGCCGGAGAGGTCAGCATTCTGCCTGAAGTCCTCAGTGCAAGGGAGGAAGAACAGAGACCGACTGTGCCCAGCGAGGGCAGGCAGTTCTTGCCCTGTGGCAACAAAGCGTATTTAGCAGAGCAGCCACCCTATTTAGGGAAAAAAAAAAAAGTTGCAAATCCACTATGCCTATTCAACTATTAATTGGTAAAGTCACTGTACAATAAGAAAATAGGCTTCTCAATCAGAAGCAAAACAAAACAAGAAAAATTGTGTGAAGGCAATATAATGACAGGCAGAACATTTAGGGCATTTTGACTAAGTCATAGAAGAGAATAAAAAAAGTGCACATAATGAAAGACCCAGTCAGTGCTTCGTGCTTTGGAGAAACAGAACAGATGCTACTAAGAGAGAAGGAGTAATTCCTCCATTAAATAATTTTAAACACCCAACATCCTATTAATATATTTAGCTTCCAATTCTTGAAAACAATGTTTTTGCAATCACTTACCACATAAGCATTTTATTAATTTTTTATTTTTTTTTACAGATATGGCTTAGAATTGGACGAAGGTATCAAACAGATGGGAAGATTTATGAGGTTTGTGTACATATGATCATTTACTAAGCACAGTAAATGAAATCCAACAGTGCAACCAATACACTGAAATATCAGATTGTATCACTGAATACTGTGTGCATCTGTGTATGGATACTTAGGAATACATTTCTTTCCTAGAAATTGAATCTATGTTCGTGAGGTCAAGATTACATTTGAAGGAGAAGAAAGACGGTTCTCTTAACTACAACTTCTAGGACACTGAGCTCCGGAAGAGATCAACAGATCTGTCTCCCAATACCATTAAAGAAAGAAGCTAACCACTGAAAATGAACACTTTCTATTTTTGTTCCTCTGAAAGCATGATTTAAAGTTGTCCATTTTCACAGTACGCTATGTTTTGAATTTATGTGCAATAAATCACTTTGTAGTCATGGACATATACATACCGAACACACATGGGCAGAATGGCCCTAAAAGAAACAAGTTAGTAAAAAATCTGCAACCATCCAACAAGACCTAACTTTCTTACCAATTCTGTTATTTGTACTTCAGATGTGGTGTTAACACAACACCAGAGTCCCCTTCAGGTTATGAAAAAGCATGTGCTGTCATACAGACTACCATATGCTGCACTAGGAAAGCGCACATCGCAGTGCCATGCTGTTTTTAATATCTTGGAAAGGAATTGGAACAGTACTTACTGATGTCATATTCCATTACTTTGTCATCCAGTGAGCTTAATCTCCTTTTCATGACCATCTTACTTGTCTTAAACCACTTTTTTTTCTTTAATTGCAGCACATGCACAGAACTACACTCAAACTCTTCACTGTTTCTACCACAGTTGTAGATTTTACTCTCTCTCTTTCACAAAGGGGTTAAGACCCTGAGGGGTCTACATTACAGCAGCTGCTGAAATCCCATAGCAAGAGTCAGAGTGGCTGGTCCAGCAGTTCTATGCCTTGAAAAAGGCTGGCAAGTAGCAGCAGGAATATAAAGCAATCTAATAGTGCAGCCAGTATTTAGAATGAACCAGCATATGAACAGCAAGGTTTTTTTTGTTTGTTTTGTTTTTTGAAATTGTGACAAATGTGTATGGCCAGCAACAGGCTTATATTTTGAAGAGGTTTTTGTCGTTTGTTTTTGTTTTAAATTAGAACACTAGAGTCGCTTTAAAAAACAGCATAATTAGGTGCAACACAGCATGTAACTAACAGTTGTACCACATCAGATCAAAGTCACATGAACTCTCTAATCTCACTTCATCAGTGGCCAGGAGTAAATATTGAAGTGTACAAAGGAACACACTCCAGTTATTCTTGACTAGTCTCTCATCTTCTATGGATTTGCCACCATGAGACTCTAAAGCAGAGGTAGCATTAAAAAGTTTTTTCTTCTGCTAACTTGCTCTGTGTTTATTTTTTTAATTCACATTATCTTAATACCTACTCTGTGGTACCAATTTCCCCAGCTTAAAAATGCTGCAAGTTAACTACTACATCCTCTTAGTCTGAGCATGCCACCTGCTCCTTTCATTTGCCTCCACCTAAATTATTTTCAGTGGGTGAAGACAGTGAACACTTGATCTCTATTTATCCCTCCTACGCCATTAAGATTTTTATCCAATTTCTATGATATTCTTTCTTTTCCTAAACAGTATCTTCCTGCTGGGGAAACCTCTGCTAAACAGTTCTTTCTCATATATTATCGAAGTACTCTGAAATCCTGATCTCCTTTTAAAAGGCTATCATGGGGAGAAGTGCTGGTTAAGGATAACACAGTACTTAAGACTCAAGAAAAACAAAGTCATAGAATGGCATGTTTTCTGTTCTATTCTTTATTTCTGTTCTAATTCTTCACACTTGGTTTGTTTTACTGAATGCCACTAAGCATCAAGCTGAAGTTTTTCAAGAATCATAACAGCTCTAAGATCATCCTTCTGTAGTATTAACTAATATAGAACCTGTGACTGAAAACGTAAATTAGGAGTGTTCTCTCTCCAACTGATTTCTCTGCATGTAATCAACACTGAGTTTCATGCATTATTTTAGCTGTCCACTAATATGAAGTCTTTTTCTAACACTGGAAAAAATAACAGTTTAAGCACAAAGAATCCAAGACTTGAAATACACAGTTGCCAGTTTACTTCCGAGGTGAACACAGTTCTGTTTAAGGTTAAGTATTTTCACCAGCTTTCAAAAAGGCTGTTTCAAAGCCAGCCTCCAGATGGAATCAGTGATGCATTCGTTGAAACAACATAACAGAGCGTAGCGCTCTAAAACATTAATAATTATTTTATCAAAACTAATAATGTTTTGGCAATCCTTCCAGGATAAAAAAAAAAAAAAATCACATTAATCTCCAGTAACAAACCTGTGTTTGTAGTTACAGCAGGTAGTTTATGAAGACCACAGGAGCAAAATTTTTAAGAAATTTCCACTAACCTTGAGATCACAAGTGGTGTTAAGCAGCAAATTCGAAGGTTTGAGGTCGCGATGAAGCACATTGGCTGAATGGATATATTTTAACCCTCTCAGAATCTGGTAAAGGAAGTAGCAAATGTGGTCGTTGCTGAGGTGTTGAGTCTTTAACAGCTTGTAAAGATCTGTCTCCATGAGATCTTGCACAATGTATCTGTAAGGCATCAGATGTAAGGCAGCAAAACAAACCTGGTGTCATATTAGGTATCAACATATAGTACCAGATGAAACTTCTGTAACAATTTGTCTGCTTCATGACAATTATGGAACCATGTAGTTGTTTCTTGTATTACAAGTTCTGAATCAGATCAATTCTGTTACATGATGCAGACCATTACAGCATTAAGAGGCACAGCACACGGTCCTCTCAAATTAATCAAACTATTTCTTTGTATTAGAACCTGATCTTTATTGGCATCTTAATATAACTGTGTTCCTAACCTGCTTACCAGGAAATAAAAACTATTTTAGTTTAAGGAGTAATAGGCTTTTGAGATACTTGCTTCCAGTTACATAAAAGCATGAAGGCAGAAAATCCAATCAATTCTGATCAGTCCCTGCCACCTCTCCACTTCAAAAGTGTTCTCTCTTACTATGTTTAATCAAGCTACATTGAACATAAATAGCCCTTCACCTAGCAAATTAAATTCTAATATTTTCCATCTGATAATTTTTTCCTAGGACTGAAATGAACTGAAAAAGCTCTACCCTGCTTTGACAGGAATCAGTTCAGAAAAAAAAATAAAAATTCCTCTCCCTTAATTCAACATGGCTCCAAAACCTATGGGTTATAGTTTCATGACCAAAATAGGATTTCACTAAAAAACATAACTACCACTCTAGTTGGGCATTCCCATCGCCTCCTTTGGATGCTGACTGGTCCACACAATTAGTCCATCTTTTTAGAGGCAGCATGCACTTAGCCAAAGTGGTCAAAGAAATGCAACCTCAGGATCCCAGGTAAGACTGACTGAACTCAAATACTATATTGCTATTTTATTAAGTGAAAACATTTGACCTAGATTCAATTCAATTTCTGCCTTACGGTTTTTATTAGGCAGCCATCTGCAAAGAGCCTGGAAAGCTAATAGGAAACAATATATACAGACTTCGGGAAATTAAAGCTGGTTGCCTCCAAACTAGGGTTTGTATCTCAGGTATCTCCCAATTGTGACTGCTTTGATATGTTAGATGTCCACATGAAGGGATATCTACATGAAAACAAGTTTCCCATTAAAGAAAAATGAGTATAACGAAAATGCCATATTTGCATATATTAATCAAGCATGTTTACCGGCCCACATGTAGTTTCAGACTACACATATGCAGGAAGCCCTGCGAGACTGGAGTGGGGGGTGGAGGGATCTTTTGCTTTATTTGCTTTTTGCCAAGATAAATCCTTTAAGAAAACTTTAGACAACTGTGCCAGTCTGGCTTTTCATTTTCTCCTCAAAGCAAACAGTTCTAAAAGAGGCTCTACTGAGAGGGAATGTAGTTTTAAGATTAAACAACTAAACTAAATCCATCTATAAAATGTTGAGTTCTTTGTCTTGAAAAATAGAAATTATTTTTTTTTCCTTGAAAAAGAACAAAAAACTTGTGTTTTATCTAGGTTCAAATCTATCGACACACATCTAAACCTATCAAATACTATGAACTTTTATTTTAATTTACAATAATGAAATCCAACTTTTATCAGAATTTAGTAAGGAAGAGGATGAAAAGGGGGGTATAATCAAGACAGAAGGTGGCATCCACCTCCAAGTAGAATAACAAACTTAGAAAGGATACACATCTTTCATTTGTTCAATAGTTGGAGCTCTGATAATATCATTTATTCCAATAATATTCTCGTGCCTGAAGCGCAGTAAGATCTTAATCTCTCTCAGAGTTCTCTGGCAGTACGTCTGATGCTCAAAAGGACTGATTTTCTTTATAGCAACTCGAACTTTGTTGACGTTATCGTAGGCAGAACTAGAAGAGAATAACATTTTTAGAACATATAGCAAATTCATTCAGTTCAGAAAGCAAGAGTGTGAATCCATTTGTTTTTATGTTTATTTTATCAAATGAAGAGAGGCAACAGTGACAGATATCTTTTAACTTGCTGACAGCGCAACAATATTTTGTCTGTTCTTCAACTTATTTGGCTATCTGCAAGTTACAAGCTTTTCCAATCAACTTGAAGCCTGCTCAGGTACCTAAGCAATGAAAGTAGCGTTCATTTTCTTTACCACCCTGTGGAATAAACAAGTTTGAGTCTTTTCCTATATGCTGTAATCAAGAAGAAATTTGCAACGAAGTCATCTTTGGTTAACCCTTTCACTTTGGAGTGCAGGAGAGCTTTCAGAAATCATCTTTCAAGCACCAGAATTCCACACCCAAACTCCCGCGAGTAATTCCAATTGCTCCCACCTTTTACTCCTCCACTGAGCTACATTTCTGGCATCTCTGTGAAGAACAGACACTAACGAACCAAGGGATAGAGAATTTGTGAAAATACCTCTCCAAGTTCAAGTCCAAAGACAAGAGAGCTCCAGAAAAGAGATATACTGGATATATATTCACAGGAAGCGAAAGCGAAGAGCAGTGCACTGACGTATGGTGGGGACTGTGACCTGTATTAATGAACACACCCATGGCTACATTAACAGTACCTTGACTTAAGCCGCTCAGAGCAGCATTCAGAGCTACACCAACAAAGGAGCCCCAGCAGTTCTGCCCAGAATGCCTACCCATTTATAAAGAACACCACAGCCCGAGCCTAAGAAAGAGGCTTGGTAAAGGACATGTTTCTAAAATGCAGACTTAAGTTATTTCCTAAAAATGTTATGAATGGATGTTCTAGGATGTTCTCTGCAGTCTTGTTTATATGAATCACAAAGCATCTCATTACTATCATTTATCTAATTAAATTACCATAGGCTTTTAATATATTTAGAATTTAAATGCATGTATATGATTTTTAATATACATAGGCCTCCCTTGCTCCTTTCAAATTTATTTTTATTCACTACTACATTGTTTAGAAATTTAAAAAAATAATCAAGCCTATATTAAGACATTCCTGTTAGCCTCAACTATTTCACATGAAAATATAAACATACGAGCTAAACAGGCTTTATATTCTACAGATTTTCTACAATCAAATCCCAGAACATTCTCTGAAACCCTCTTAATTGGCCTTATTCTGTTGAGATGTCCAGGTATCTGATGATCAGGTAAAACAGAGTGAAATATGAAAATCCAGTTAGAAATGGACAACTAAAAAGAATTCTGATGCCTAGTCACTTCAAGGTTCTTCTACCACAAAGCAGGTTTAGGGTGCAGTAATACGTTTTTGAGATGGTACTACCACCACTGTATGCAAAATCACTTTACATTTCTCATTTTCATTATTATAAGCAATACAGGATTTGTGCTGCCAGTAACTGTCTTCATCGTGTAAATATTATCTATGCAGTGACTTCCTTTTTGATCGATTTACTACAGAATCACTGTCCTGTCTGCATCCCTAACTCAAGTCTATACACAAATTTTATGTGCCTCTGGAAACAACGAACTCCAGTGCTCCAGAGGGTGCTTGGAAATTCCACACACCAAGCAAGTATTAATTATGACTGCTGTTACTACATATGTATAGATAACACATTAGCAGTTCACAAGTCCCAAAACAGATAATAAGAAAATGCCATAAATGAAACTCAATGTAGCCTTCAAGAGTACTTCCTCATTAGTTCTTAATTTGCAAGTCACCTGAGGTGTTTACAATATGCCAGCAAGGTATGTCAAAAACCGGAAAAAAAAATAGTAATAATTCTTTAAGCATGAGCAGCCCGTATCTGGGAAAAATAAAAATCTAACAGATCATTTTGCTGTAACAAACAAACCTCCTACCTTCTTCTTTGTATTGACTGAAACCTATTTTTTCTCCCACAATGCAAAATCTCACTTCCTTTTAAAGCACTGGACAGCAGCAGCTATGAAGAGCATAATGCCCAATATTCACCAATTGATGCTGCTTAAATAAAAGC